GCCAACGTTATGGACGTTCCTGGATTGAGAGATTTGGTATGGCCCTTGGGCTATGTTAAAGTACAACGAAGGCGGGAAGGCGGAACTTACAGATCTACGGTTCCCCAACGAGCCGAAGGCGCAAGGTGGCCAAGCACACCGTCCTATGGAAGGAAGAGATCCTCCTGTCAAGGTCTCAAGGAAGAGGAACGAACTCGGCCCTTGGGCTATGTTAAAGTACAACGAAGGCGGGAAGGCGGAACTTACAGATCTACGGTTCCCCAACGAGCCGATAACTCTGTTCAACGGGGGCCCTACGGGCTGCTGAATAATGGCGTTAGACACAGTTAGAAGTGTCGGATCTAAATGAGCAACCGTTTTACCATCAACAATCTTAGCAACAACAAATCCCAAAGAAACACCCTTAGCAGTCAAACTACCCTTAAACAGATTAGACCAAGCACCAGTACCATTACCTGAGTCCGGTGGCTTATTAGGAGGAAGCAACCAAGATCGGAAAGAAGAGCTGGCAACGTTTTTCCTTCTTCAGAACAAGCAAACTAGCTACTCCTATTATAGCCCCTGAGGTTATAGATAGTTTGTTTAGTGTGGTTCTATAAAGAGATTCTTATTAGTTAGTAGAAAGCCATTCCCTGGGAGTTCCACCAGCGGCCTAAAGGCCTTCCCCCTGGCTCCCGCTTTTTTGCACTTGACTGGGTGGACAGTTGACCGGAAGAGAACTTCGATTCGCCCGGCCAGCAGGCGGGCGGCGTGCTTATCTTCAGGAAAATAATCCAGGATGAACGCTTTTTTCGTTCGCTATGTGCTGACTGGATGCGTACTCGCGCGATCGATCGATGGACGAGGAAATTGCGTGAATGACGAGCTACCTCGCTCTCATCATCTTACGATGAAAAGCAGGTGAGCAGCAGGATGTTGAGGTCCGAAATTCGAAGTGTGTCACAGCTAATTACTCCTATATTTTTTTATGTAAAAACGAAGAAACTAATTCTATTTTCATTTTCTTTCCTATTTACTACGTCGACGAATAATAAAATTATCACTATATTTATTCCTTTTTCTACTTCTTCTTCCAAGTGCAGGATAACCCCAAGGGGTTGTGGGGTTTTTTCTCCCAATTGGGGCCCTCCCTTCACCACCCCCATGGGGATGGTCTACAGGGTTCAATGCGAAGAACGTCCGAGACGAGACGCCTATCGCCTAGGCCATCGACCAGAATCCCAGCTGAACTGCCATTTGCCATAAAACTAAGCGGTCAGTATACCCGAGATCCTTTCATTCCAAGTTGCCATCCAAATGCCACTTCTTCCCGTCGCAACCGTCTTCAGGACGATCTAGTCACAGGGTTTCACTTCTCAGTGAGTAGGTAGCGAACTCCGCATTTCGAGATGGGAATGAAAAGCCTTTCTTTTACTTACCCAAAGCCTGACTATTGCTATTGAGGGCATAGATGATGTTTTCATCATTATATTTCGGAATGGTGGGAGTTGGAAGGTCTCCTTCTTATTTATTGCTCTAATTCGCGCTCTGTCACTCACTCGCTTGTTCAGTTACGCCAAGCCGGCTCTTCTTCTTCTTTGGTAGTTTGTTCCTAGATCGCCGGGAACCAATAACGCGTAAACCATGTCAAACCAAGACCGATCAATATCCGAAGCTGTCTTCATTTCTGCTCTTGGTCTTACCGGTGCTTTAGCCATATCTGTTGTTAGAGTGAAATCATCTGCTCGGCCCATTCAAATCAAAATAGAACGAGCACCTACGACTAAGAAGAATAGAATGTCGACTACCTTCTTTGGGTTCCAACAAACCAAAATTCTACCATTAGGAGCATCACTCTAATTATTCATCATCCTCCAATCTTTGCAAATATTATTGAAAATTCTGCCAGCTTTAGGTTCTTTAATTCTAGTTTCCAAAAGAGCACACACATCTATTCTATTTTTAAGCAAAAAGATTTTAAGTTATTTTTGCTTGAGAGGTTTGTTGGAAAGACCACCTATTTGTTCGTTTACCAGGTTATCCCCTCAATAGAAGAAAGAAGATAAGCGCTATCTATTGAGTAAAGGGAGGGTTTGCTACAGTGATTCGGTCGGTTCCGGTCCACATATCGAGGTCGGAATGGGATCGGGTGTTTTCAGAGTTTTGCGTTCAGCAGATCTACAGAGGTCAACGCCAGCTGTTCAGACGTTTATTTGCCTGCTGAGAAAGCGAGGACTTTTTTTTTTAGCTGCTGGCCATCGCTTCCTTAGCTCTCCTCGCCCATCTTTGGCTGCCTGTGAGGAGGTGACTCCCATACAATTCTTGCGAGAGCTGGAGAAGGGACTGCTACTCTTTTTTCGTCCGGGTCGTAATGAAATGTTTTTTCGCTGCGTTTACTACAAAAGGGCTGAGCCCGGATCTCATTATCATCCACATAAACCAGAAGAAGGGACAAGCTGTTTAGTAGCTGGAGTATGCTTACTAGCTTTAGCAACGGGTTTAAGACGGCTGCTATCTGCTTCTAGCTTCTATCCTTGAAGGAGAGGTTACGAAGTAGCTCGAACAACGGGAGAGGTCAAAAGGCCTGTCAAAGAAGTCTCGATTATCAGACCTAATCCGCCTTTCCGTGCGAAATCTCCTTGCGTCAGGCCTATCTCTCGGGAAGAATCGAGGCAACGTTAGTTGTTCATCGGCCAAGTCCGAAAGAGGCGACTACCTTACCTATCAATCGTATTGGCCCAATTCCAGATCGGTCTATCCCATTAGGCCTAATCCCGTTAGCCAATGAAAGGACTACCTTTCTTGGACTGTGAGCGACGACACCAGCGAGAAAGAAGAGGTTTCATTGCTGCCTTACCTTGCTTTGCTTGAACTGTCTTAAAGGACAGAAGGTGTGAAAGAAATAAGACCTTGGTCAAAGATTCCAAGCTCGTTGATCAACACTGACACTACCTTTTAGAATTGAAGAAGCCGAAGGGGGCGTTAACGAGCCGTAAGAAAGATGAGCAGAGCACTCTTTCCGCCGGCCTTTTAAAGAGTAGGAGAGCGGGGTAAGATAGATAGACGTCCAATCTTGCAGCAGCTAGTTGCTCGGCCTTAGTCTTGGGCTGATCTCACACTTCAATAAACCTCTTCGTACTTCGATCCAATCAATCGATCGATCAAGAGACTAATCTCTTTTGTTTAGGCCAGCAGCTAAAAAAAAAAGTCCTCGCTTTCTCTTTTTCAAGGGAGGCATCCCTTCTTTCGTGGAAAAGAGGTTTTTGGTGAAGTTCTCTGTAGTGATGACCATGCTTAACAAGCTCCTTTGAAACTCAAGTACGAAGAGTCGATAGTGCAATTCACCTTGGATTGAACGGCTATGGGTATGGGATACGCTCATGACACTCCCATTTTCAGTAGGGGAAATGCAATCCAGTATCTTCAAGTTCCAGTAATGGCATTCCAAGAGTAGCAGTCTCAGTCTCCATTTTTGGAGTATGCGGATAAGTCCCAAGGAGTGCATCATCCGTAGTAGTAGTGCCTTATATTGCCCTTGAAGGAGGAATTTCTAGTGCCATTAAGGGTAGATAACTGAATGAGGAAGAGCTCCTTATGTAGTTTCACTTTACCACCATCTGAAATGCGCGATTAGTACGCTTGGTTGACCTCTTGGAGCTCGTCCATTCGTTGGGTGATCCCTTGCTCTCACGTTCGAGTGTTTGCTCGTCGTTTAGGCCGGTGAGTGAGATTTCTGCTCATTGCAGTCACCTCCGGGGTTCTTCGCACCTGGATAGTACCAGGACCCTTGTGCCCCGGCCTTTGATCAGAAAAAGCTGCCCGCTCGAAGCCCGTCCTATGACCCAAAACAAAAAATGAGCCTTGCGACGAGACGCGGACATTCTCCATGCTGCGGTTCCCTCCGGTCCGTTCCCGGGTTGGGTTAGGGGAACATGCTTCCTCCATATTGTTATGGTACCATAACACCCAATTGTTTTCTTTAAGCTTATGACCGTCTATAAATGAATCCTTCTTCAAAAATATGTTCTATTTATTGTCATCGCAGATCAAGGTTATCGTGCTTTTAGGGTTAATTCCAAACCTTCCGTATAGCGAATTCAAAAGGTTCTTAGGCAAGGGCGTCATTTCCTTCCTTAGCCTTTAATCTTCTATTATATATAAAGAGTGCTAACATAGTCCTTGCTTGCGACCCAGGATTCGATTTTATCATCAATCCAATCACCGTTCACCCTTTTTCTTTTTCTTATCAATGAATAGATCTCTTTACTTGTATGACTTAGATGTCTCGTATTTCTCGAAAAAGTGATTCGATTGATGGGATTTGGTATGATACTTATGAGATCGATGATATCGATGAGATTAATATTCTGGCGCTAGGCCTTGGCATTGGGCGCCAATGTTTGGCGCCTGCCGCTAATGAGCGCTAACTCCGAATCCTTCCCATATTAAAACTGCACCGATTTCGTGTATAAATAGCCCCCTGTCTGGCCGATTTTCTTCATAATTTCAGCAGATTAAATATATTCTTGGTTTTTAGAAAAAATAACAATCATGTCTCTATAACAAATAAGACCAAAGAGGGCGATTTAAATTGCCCTCTTAGGTTACAATTTTGCCCTATTAGGCAAAGTGGGCGATTTTAAAATCGCCCCTAAGTTGCCCTTTTAGCTTCTTCCTATTAGCTTCAAAAGGCAACTACAATATTTCGCCCTCTTTGTTAAAGATCAAATAAGGCAAAAAATTTCCCCCTCTTTGTTAAAGATCAAAGAAGGCAAAAAATTTTGCCCTCTTTGATCAAAATCAAGGAGGACAAAGCTTTTTGCCCTCTTTGATCAAAATCTAAGAGGACAAAAAATTTAGCCCTCTTTGATCAAAATCTAAGAGGACAAAAATTTTCGCCCTCTTTGATTAAAATCTAAGGGCAGAATTAAAGTCGCCCTCTTTGTTCATTTTTTAGTTTTTAAAAAAAAAAGAATTTTGGGAGGGTACATTTAGGAAAAAAAAAGGTCTTAATAGGAATATAAACAAAAGTATTAATCAAGTATTTATAAATAGCAAATAGCTAATCCAAAGAGTACTAAAATTTAATAATGTTTTTTCTAGGACATGAACTATCAAGCAACTTCTCATTCTTGCAGCTTCTAGCATCCCCTTTTTTTTCCATCTGTAATGCAACCCGCCTTTTGGTGTTTATCCCCAAAACATCAGCACATTGACTTGATCCCCTGACTGCAAACTTGACAGATTCAGGTAAGAAACAGTTTTGAGTCCTGCAGGTTTTAATGTGACTGTTAATCCTCTTCAAGAAGAAAGGGAAAGTTACAATTCACAAAATTCAAGTTCAAAAATAAGATACTAAAATGGAATGTTAGATGGACTGATGGACTACTGCCAAAGTAACAGCATGTAGAAAAGCATCGGTCTGAGCACCATGTCTTATACCTACTGAATTATATAAGAACCTATCCAAGATTCCTCTAACATAATAAGCTAACATAACCATGGCATGAAAATGCATCCACATGACAATTTTATGTAAAGAGTAAGCTAGAAAATATTACCTCTATCAAGCATCAAGGCCAATCTTCTCCACGACTAACCGAATCTTTTGTTCTAGGTCATCTTGTTTCTTCTTAGAAACTTCCAATTCAGCTCGCAGCATATTATTTTCATTTTGTAGTTATTCCTAGAAAATTACATGCATACATAATACCAGGAAGATCAAAAAACAACAGAAGGATTTCCATTAGAAAAGATAAACGTAGCTGTATATGAAAATATAAACTGAAGATAAAAGGAATAAAAGATATAAAGAACCCATCCCTAAAAAAAAAAGATATAAAGAACTCTCTTCAGGCTACGAGAAACAAGAAGGTTATAAATTCAGTGCACAAGTAGGATGAATAATTAAGGACAATCAGGAGTTTAATTCAACTAGGAGTTTGTGTTGCAATCATTATTTGATCAAAATGGGAAAAATTAAAGCAGTTATCTGTGACTAGCCTATAGCAACAATGGCCATGTCTATGAAGCATATATGAAATTCTATTAGCATAAGGTGAAGCAACCATATTGAAAAACATTTAAACTCAAGGACTAACAGGAAAGTGCAACCAAGCTTTCTAGAAGAAATCAAGGACTGACTACAATATGCTTCAGGAATGTAACTAAACACTACAATTCTCAGCATAAGCATCATAATTCATAATTACATTAAAGTTAATTAGTCTCAAGCTAATCCCAAATCAGATAATCTATATAACATGCCCTTGAAGGAAACGCAGTGCCTAACAATTCATGATGTGCACACTATCATCAGATTTCATATGGCCAAAGAGTAGCTTTTTAACTTTTTGTGGGGAGTATGTCGTAAGATGTCCCAACCTACCCGATAATCGAGCAATACGGAAGTATACCCTGAAACAGGTGCCTCAACGGACAACCTGGGAACACAAACATGGGTTATAATTCTATGCCACTCACTGCATAATCAAATGACAAAAAATCTTGATTGAGAGGATCTCTTCTGAATATTTAATTTGATTTTTCGATTATTCTTAGTTGAATTTCTAATAGGGGTTCTTGTAATTTTCAGTATATCTGTTCTAGATTGTCACACACTAGTGTTAAAAAAAAAGGTCCTACATAGATCACATGTTTATCTTCTAATAAGCTAATGAGACACGTCAAACATACATTAATGAGTAAGCTCTATGTTTTTAAAAATCTACCATGATCAATTGCATACATGTGGACATAATTAAAACACAGCACGACAATTACAAGACTGTCGAAAACATCAAGATAAATATGCTTTCATGTACTCATACTCCGTAATTGTTACGAAAGATAGGCAGAAGTGGATTGCAACTCTTCTGTCAAAAATCATTTCATACAAGTAATCTGTCCACAATTTTCTTTTATAGCATTGACAATATGCACATAAAGCAAGCTTATTCTTAATCAAATGCGTAGTACATATGAGTTAATTATGTTCATTGGCACCTTCAGAATCCTCAAAGTCAATTAAGAGATTACTCAAAGCATCATCACTGATCAAAAAGGGGAATAAAAAATGAAGTAATTGCTGAAAATGCTCACCAAGATGGCAACTGTTTGACTTCATTTGAAGTGCTGGACTAGGAATGTTTTGAGTGTTGCACCGAAAACATGTATTTTGGACCAATATAACCTATGTTTTTGGGAATATTCTGTCATAGCATCTGATGCATAGTCAGTTAATACATGTGCAATCCCAAAATCCAACAACTTTAGAATTGAAACTATTGTCAAGAAGTACATTGGTAGGGCTAAGGTCGCGATGCAACAAAAAAAAACATTAACACATTCAAGACCACAAGAAATGCCAAGACATATAGAAGCTCTAATAGACCAGTTTAACTGGAATTTTTATCATCTAATAATGCAGCTAAGCTTCCGCCTTCTAAAAACTCGTACACCATGACTATATGATCATCTTCAGCACAACTTCCTATGTTTGTCTATCCCTCAAATGACAGCGAAGCTATTACTGATAGACCTTTCACCGACTCACTGCATAATCAATGCCTGTCTATCCTTTCTAAATAAATAAGAAGCACAATGTGTTTGATAAAAAATTATAATCTAGTCCATTACAATCCAAAAGTTGGATAATACTAACTAATTCACAATCTTCAAAACCGAAAACTAAGGGCTCGTTTGGCATTGTTGTGGTTTTCTGTTTTTTGGTTTTTTGTTTTTCAAAATCATATGATACATGTCATAAAATGAATCAAAAATTATTCAACCTTATTAAAAACATGATAATTTTAAAAACTGACAACAGAAAAGTGAAAACACCTTTTTCTTGTTTCTTGTTTTTGGTTTTTTGTTTTCAAAAAAATAGAAAACTGAAAACCAAAAACAATGACAAACAAGCCCTAATTTAGTCCAATAAACTTAAGACATGAACGCTTAAAGATTACAGGTTAAAGATTATGAGTTTATTAATGAAAAGTACCAAATCATAAACTAGCTCTGAACATAACATGGATACCTAAAAGAGCTTCACAATCAATAAGTAATCTATAATCAAACTGCAATCAACTACTATTATACATTACATTTTGAAATCAGATAATGAGGTAATTAATCATATACTTATCTCCAATGATCATGCATCATAAACACCTGTTCATACAAAACAATTTTATTATTATTTTTTAATCAACAGTCTTTGAGGCGTTTCATCAAACACTTTATCTGCACTATTTGAAAACTATAAACTTTTCTTTTTTCCTGGATTCTTTAAGGCATTTCATCAAACACTATATTTGCACCATTCCGGATTATTTAAGTATGATTATTATAGGTATTTCATCAATTTTTTAACAGGCAAAATCGAAAGCTTGCTTGACTCGACAAAAGTAGCATGCTATACAACAAATTTCGAATCCAAGCAACAATTTAAATTTCAATAACAAAAACATTCGAGTAATTAACTAGCATTAAACCCTACATTGTGAAATTGATAGTCTAGGCCATAATTTAATACTACCTGAGAAGCCGCTTCAATGGAGGAGAAAGCTCAAAGTCGCTTCAATGGAGGATCAAGAAAGCTCAAATTCGCTTCAATGGAGGATCGAGAAAGCTCAAACTCGCTTCAATGGAGAATTCGAAGTGTAGTTATCGCATTGTGAGGAGAGAGAGGGGTTTTACAATTTTTGATTTTGGGGTTTGTTTTACGGAGTACAGTAGAAGTATTTGTTTATTTGTGCAAGCAAAGACGACAACTACTATTAATTTGCCCCCTTATTGTTTATCAAAGAGGGCGATTGTTTAAGTCGCCCTTATTGTTTGATCAAAGAGGGCGAATTTTATTTAGTCGCCCTTATTGATCAGCTATAAGGCAACGACCAAATTTTTGCCCTTTTTGATAACAATATAATAGGGCGAGTTCTATATGTCCTATTTCATGGTGTTTAAGAAGGCAAAATTAAAGTCGCCCTTTTTGTCAGAATAAAATCGCTCTCTTTGATCTATTTTCTTGTAGTGCTAGTTTCTAAAAGTTTTACCAACTTCACTCATGAATGGTGTCGGTCTCTTACTGCCAAGGAGAGAAAAGAGTTAGATGTTTTTCACATGGGGGGTATTTATGGTGTCAAAGGGGTAGATCTTGATTTAGACTTTATTCATACCGCTCTAGAATATTGGGATGTGGATACTCATTGCTTTAGATCAGGGTATGATGAAATTAGCCTTTTGCCGGAAGAATTCGGTGCTATTTCAGGCTTCCCTGCATTAGATCTTGTAGTAATCCCTAAAATAAACTAATATTATTATAAGGATTTTGAGCGCTTCTTTAATTTAAAAGACAAAGATCTAACAAAAATAGTAGATGGTAGCATAGTTAATTTAAAAGCATTAGCTCGCCATTATTTTGATAGACCTTATTATGAGTCTTTTCATGTTTATAGAAGAAGGGCTTTTCTGTTTTGCATGCTTAATCAATATCTTCTCACTAGTGGTAAAACTAATGAGGGTCAAGCAATTATATCCACTGTTTTAGAGCAGATCGAATCTGGGAGAAATCCAATGCCATTAATAGTTGGAGAGACTATGCTTAGTCTTGATGAATTAAAGAAGAATCCAAAAGCACCTTTCCGGGGCTCTTCATATTTATTACAGGTAGAAAAATAATATTTTAAATTACAGAAATCAAAAATATATTTTTGCATAGTAATAATAATTTATTTGCATTGAATTTTTTTTTCCAGATGTGGCTAATGGAAAGACTGGAATTAATTATCCCTCCAGACAATATTGAGAAGTATACTCCAAACTGCTTCATGAGAAGGAAGAAATACTTATCTAAGATAGGGCGCCACGAATGGAAGAAGGTCTTCGAGTCTTACAATTTTGCCATCAAGTGGATCATCCTTTGGTGGAAAATAGAAAAGATGGTTGGTGTCAACAAGCAGCCTTTCTGCCGTCTTCCAAGCTTGTCTACAATGACTTTTTATTATCCCTACAGGGTAAAAAGACAGTACGGCCTACTTCAAACAATTCCTTCCGGGGATCTTCGTCGTCCCTATGAGTTCCTTGTCTCTCAGGAAGTAGACAAATTTGATACTTATTGGAGTGCTAGACCTTTATGGGAAGTGATAACCAAAAAGGTTCCTCCTTCCTTTCCCAATGAGGTGGCTTTTGAAGAAACCTTCAAAGGACATGAAGAAAAACCAGAGTAAAACTGATGTGAAGAGTCGTCTAGGTGACAAAGTGATTCCTGTTAAGGAACGCTTGGGTGAAAGAGTTGAGTTCAAAACACCTACAATGCCTAAGAAGAAAAGTTCTGCGAAGGATAAATGAAAAAGGAAAGCTGACACTACAGAGAAGAAGACTTGGGTAGAAAAGAAGCATGGGGTCCTAGCTAATGGAGAAACTATTTACTCAAAAATTGAATATAGGTCCTCTAAAGGATGCCTACTAGCTAAGGTTATGGATGAGGAAGAAGACGCAGATAAGAATTGGAAGAGGGCAAAGAAAGAGAAAAAATATTAAGAGCATTGTTCAACTTTCAATTATTAGACTTAGTTTTTAAATTCAAAGTTAATTTATTTAAGCTTTATTTAAATTCCATCAATAATGTATTTTATTTTATTATTAAAATTCCAGCTTTTTAATTAAATTATTTACTTTAAATTTAATTTATTAAAGCAATGAAAACCGAAAATTTAATTTTCCAGAAATTTTTTCAAGTACGGAAGTCGAAAATTTTCCAAAAAACACCGAAATATTCCCAGATACTTTTCAGAACATTGGTGCCGCGATTTTGCGACTGGCGCCTGCTGCGGTAGTCTGGCGTCAGGCGATAGGGGTTGTCGTCTGGCGCTAAGGTTCATCGACTGACGCTAGAATTTTTCTGTGACGCCAATGTGTCGTTGATCTTTTGTTGAATTTTTTATTAAGTCTGGGATGCGAGGTTTGATAAATAAAGTGGCCACACCCGTAAAGGGTTGCCTACGTATCCTTTCTTAAGGAATCAGGCCAAACGTAGCTCTCTTGAGTGTTCTACTCAAGTGATTATGGGTAGTACTTTTTAATTTGGTCAAGATTTGTCATGTTCGAGAACTCATTGCCATCCATGTCATTTAATTTTGCTGCACCTCCTGACAGGATTGTTTTGCCAATGTAGGGTCTAGATTAATTAGGTTTGAATTTTCCCCTTGGATCTAAAACATTTTTCCTTAATGCTTTTAACACCAAATCTCCTACTTTGATGTTTCTTGTCTTGACCTTCTTATTAAAATGCCTAGCCATACGAGTTTGGTAACATTGAGGGTGATGTAGAGCTTCTAGTCGTTTTTCATCGAGTAGAATTAGCTCCTCGTATCTTGCCCTAGTCCATTCGACTTCATCAAGTTTGCTCTCTAATGTGGTGAGTAGAGATGGAATCTCTAGCTCGACAGGTTGTACGACATCCATTACATAAACCAAGGAAAATGGTGTATTTCCTGTTGACGTGCGAATTGACGTGCGATAACCCCACAATGCGAAGTGGAGTTTGTCAGGCCAATCCTTGTAATTTTCCGTCATTTTCTCGATGATAGTCTTTAAATTTTTAATAGATGATTTGAATGCTCCATTTTCCTGAGGTCTATAAGGAGAAGAATGATGATGTTGAATACCATATTTTTGTAGCAATTCTTTACACTCGGTTTGAAAGTGAGTTCCATTGTCACTTATCATTTCATGTGGGACTCCATATCGACAAATAATATTTCTTTCGATAAAGAGTGCTACATGTTTTGCAGTGAGTTTGGCGTATGATTGTGCTTCGACCCACTTTGTGAAGTAATCAATTGCCACTAAAATATATTCATGACCTCCTGTTCCTGGGGGGTGATTTTGCCGATGATGTCAATTCCCCATGTGGAAAATGGCCATGGCGAAGTGTAGGTGTAGAGCAAAGATGGAGGAACATGTTGTAAATTAGCGTAGATTTGGAACTTAGGGCATCTTTTTACGTATTGATGGCAATCCCTATTCATGGTAGTCCAATAGTATCCTTCTCGCATTATCTTTTGGACTAACATTTTGCCATTTACGTGAGTTCCACAAATTCCTTCGTGGACTATCCTCATTGCTCTTTGAGCATCCTTTTTTCCTACACATAATAGAGCTCGACCCTTAGGTACCCTTTTGTGTAGCTCGTTGTCTATGAGCACGTATTGGGAAACCAAGAATCTTAATGCTCGTTTTGCTCTTTTGTCAGCATGGGGAGGGTATTCTCCTTTGGTGACATAATTGAGTATATCCGTATACCACGGTTCTTATTCTTATTCTTCTTCTTCATGGGTCACTTCATCATATTCTATAGCTTGAATATGGGCCGGTTTATGCCTTTTTCTATAGTCACAGGCATTTGCTCGATTTTCGTAGGAATCCTAACCATTGAGGCTAGTCTTGCTAAGGCATCAGCAAATTGATTTTCTTCTCTAGCTAGATATGTGTATTCTACCCTCTCTAACTGATTAGTAAGGGTTTCTAAATAAGTTTGGTAAGGGGCTAGACTTTCGCTCCTTACTTTTCATCTTTTGGAGATTTGATTGATGATCAATGAAGAGTCTCCGAATATCCGTAACTTTTTCACTCCCAATGCCAAAGCTGTTTCAAGGCCTACCATGCATGCTTCGTATTCAGCAGCATTGTTGGTAACATCGAAATTAAGCTTTATGGAGATTTGAACATGCTCTTCTCTTGGTGATACTAGTAATACTCCAACGCCACATTCCTTTTGGTTTGAGGCTCCGTCGAAGTACAAAGTCCAAGTGTCATCTTTAGTGACCATCAAATCTTTGTCTGGAAATTCATTGTCGTGTATTGGCGTCGAGTCTTCTATTGGAAAGTCTCCTAGAAAATCCGACACCACAGATCCTTTGATAGATTTTTGTGGCATGAACCTTACATCGAACTGGGCTAAGTTGACCTTCCATCTCAATATGCTCCCATTAAGTGTAGATTTCTCGAATAAATACTTGAGGGGATCTAATCGGGAAACTACAAAGATTGTATGCACGAGCATGTAATGTCTTAACTTGGTTGTGGCCCACACCAATGCGAGGCACAATTTCTCAAGTGGTGTATAGTGTGCTTCATACTCGAGAATCTTTTTACTTAGATAGTAGATCGCATTTTCTTTGCCTTCTACTTCTTGCGCGAGTATGGCTCCCATTGTCTCTTTGGTGACTGTTAAGTATAATCTAAGAGATATCCCCGGAAGTGCTGGTGCTAATACGGGAGGATTTACGAGATAGGCTTTGATCTTTTCAAAGACTTTTTGACACTTGTCATCCCATATCACTGGTACATTCTTTTTAAGCTTTTTGAAGATTTGTTCACATATTGTTGTCAATTTTGATATGAACCTGCTTATGTATTGCAACCGGCCAATAAATCCTCGAATTTGCTTCTCGGTTGTGGGCGGTGACATTGACATGACTGCCTTGATCTTGGTTGGGTCTATCTCTATTCCTTTAGATCTTATGACATAACCCAAAAGCTTGCCTGAGGTGACTCTAAAAGCACACTTAACTGGATTCAACCTCATGTTGTATTTTCTTAGCCTTTCGAAGAATTTTCTCAAGGCTATTTGATGGCCTAGGTGATCTTTTGATTTCACAATCATATCATCCACGTATACTTCAACTTCTTTATGCATCATGTCATGGAGCAAGGCAATCGCTGCTTGTTGGTAAGTAACACCAGTGTTTTTCAACCCGAATGGCATTACCGTGTAGCAGTATGTACCCCATGGTGTTATGAAGATTGTTTTCTCCATGTCTTCTTCCGCCATGAGAATCTGATTATAGCCCGCGTATCCATCCATGAATGAGAGAAGTGCATGA